GAAGGGTCCAGCTCCCTCCCTGCCACACAGACCCCGGGGACAGAGGACCTGGCTGATTCTGGAGGAGGTGCAGAGGTGGCCAGAGCCCCTTGTCCCCAACCCAAAGCCCTCAGGGTCAGTTGGAGGGATCACAAGGCACAGGGAGCCCCACTCTGCCTTCTGTGGGCTCCAAGCCCAAAACCCAGGAGCTGGCACCTACAGCAGAACTGCAGAGGAAGGTGTTTCACTCCCAGCTGGAAAACCCCAGTGGAGGAGCTCCCAATCCCCAGGGAAGATGTCCCATCCACAGGGACACGGTGTCAGTGCCAAGTCACCAGCTCAGATCCCGGGGTGCATCTCTCCCAGAGGTACTTGGGAGGGTGTGATCATCCCTCCCCGTTGTGCCAAGTGCAAGTGCTGGTTTTTTTCCCCATTCTTGGAATTAGCACATTTTGATGGGGTTTATGGCTGTGGTAAATACACACACATGGAGCAAAGAAGCAGCGTGCCCTGGGTGAGGACACAGAGTGATTGCAAGGCAGCAGAGGAGAAGGGGGGGATTCTTTTCTCCTCTCCATAATTATTGCAGAAAGGTGAACAGCAGGATGGGAAGGTTTCAGGGCAGTGCAGCTGTTCTAAGACATGTGTTTTACATCCTTGAGATGATTTTTGTAACAACTCCCCAGCATCCTGCTGGGATGTCCATCTCCCCAACAGGGAAAATGGGAGCATGGCAAAGCTCAGCTCATTTTCCATGAGCACAGTGCAAGATTTGCCCTCTCCAAACATTGTTTAAAGATTGAGCCATGTTTATGGAGAACTGGGAGCGGGATCCTGGTCCCAGTAGGAGCGAGGGTTCGGGGGGAGTAGAAGGCTCTTTTCCTGGAGCGATTCAGAGCGTGGAATTGTGCCCCTTGTCCATAATCCAGACCTACCACAAGCAGCACAGATGAAGAACCCCCTGCTGCAGCCAGCCCTGCTCTCCAGGCTGTATGGGAAGGGGCTGGTGCAGCTGTAAATCCACCCCAGCCTCCCCTCACTCCTCACACCCAGCACACATCAGATGGGTGGTGTGGGGAAGTAGGGGGAGGATTAGAAATTAAAATGCTTTCAGGAAGTTTAATCATATTTTTCAGTTCAATCACAAATGTGGTGCTGGAGATCATTCCCTGTGGTGGTGATGGATTTCCACCATAGGTGGTTCCCCCAGCTTGCCTGATTCCCAGTGTGGCAGCAGGGCTGTGCCTGTGGAGCAGGACCCAGCCAAGTGTCAATAGACATCTGGGCTGTCTCCACACCACAGGGCCAAGTGAGCTTCAGGGCATGTCCACCTTTGATGTGCATCCCTCTGGAGAGGGATGGATCCTGCAGGCACTTCAAACAGAGCCTCCATTCCTTTGCCTTCTGTGCAAACTCTGATTAAAGGGCAGAACGTCTGTCTCTCTTTTTTCTCCTGAATCCAAATGAAGTCTGGCAGCCCCTGATTAACCATTGCCCTTCCCACGGCTGTTCCCAGCACTGGGATTGTGCTCTGCTCTGCTTTGCCACCACTGTCCACATCACCCACTGCTGACACTATTAAAATTAAAACCTTGCTGCACCAGAAGCTGTTGACCCTGAGATAGGCATGGTTGACCCAAGTTGGCCACTGTTGACCTCCTGTTGGCTTCTGGCTCCTCATCAGCCAATGATGATGCTTTGCTTGGCCACTGCTTTGCCCGTGTCCCACCAGGAGAAAGCTCTGGGACCAAACAAACCACCCTTTATCACTGAGACAAATCAAACTGTGCCTCTCCCACTCGCTAGGGCAGATCAGGGTTGGTTGATGGTGTAAAACTGGATTTTCTTGAGGCATCCCACAGCAAACCCCAGAAACAACCCCCAGGAGTGTGTCAGGGGCTTTAGCATCACACTGCCATGGAGCTACAGAGCAGTGAGAGGGGATGACAGTGATGACAAATGACATAATTACGGCCAGACTCCGATGCAGCGAGTTCTGCTGCATTATTAAGAGCAACCAAAAATACTCCCAGCTTAGTCATGAGCTGGTCTGGGCCACGCAGTGAGGGGCTGCTAGGGCTGCCTCACCCCTGGGCTGGCAGAAGAGAAAGAGGGAGAGACTGAAATGCTTTGCAGCCGTGCTTACTCATCCTTCATTCCTCGTGGAAGAGGCCCCCGGGTGAGCGGAGCACCTCAGAGGCTTTGGGATGCTGATGGGGGGAAATGGCATTAGGATAACATTAATTGCCTTAGTGGAAGTGTAACAGCTTAGTCTAAGCCAGCAGAACTGAAGCAAAGCACGGGATCAGGGAAACCTGTGGGTGTAGCTTTGCTTCATGCCCAAAGTGGGATCTGGGAATCACCTGGAAAATGGGCTTTGATGCGGAAGGTGCAAGAAGAAAGGCAGGGAGGTTGGGTGGGTTTCCCAAAGCCCAGGCTGAAAGCTCCCATGGTATAAGATCTGCCCACTGGCGCTGTCATGAAGGCTGTGCTCAAAAGCCTGTGGACCAGAAGTCTCCAGAAATGTTGTTTGACACCTTCATGAATGCCCTGGCTGAGGGGGCAGGGTGCACCCTCAGATGATACCGACCCAGGAGGAGTGGCTGCCACCCCAGAGAGGTGCTGCCATCCTGAGGGACCTGGAAAGGCTGGAAACAAGGGCTGAGAGAGACCTGGGGAAGTTCAGCAAGGACAAACACCAAGTGCTGCCCTGGGAAGGAAGAGCAGCAGAACACGCTGGGGAGCAGCTTGGCAGAGATGGCCCAGGGGGTCCTGGTGGCCACCAAAGTGACCATGGCCCAGCAATGCACTGTCACAGCCCAGAAGACCACCAGCCTCCTGAGCTGCACCAGGCAGAGCATCTCCAGAAGGTCGAGGGGCAGATTCTGACTGACACACCTTGGGGTGTTGTGTCCCACTCTGGGCTCCACAGGAAAAGAGAGATGTGGACATGCTGGAGCGAGTTCAGTGAAGACTAAGGGCCTGGAGCACCCCTCTGATGAGGAGAGGCTGAGAGAGCTGGGATGGCTGAGCCTGGGCAGGAGATGGCTCAAGGAGATCTTACCCACGTGGATAAATACTTGATGGAGAGGGATAAGGGAGACAGGGTTGGGCTCCTCTCCAAGGTGCCAAGAGACAGTGGGCACAACCCAAAATGTAGGAAATTCTCCTTAAACAAAAGAAACCACTATTTTACTGGGAGGGTGGTCCAACGTGGGAAGAGGTTGCTCAGAGAGGTTGTGGAGTCTCCATCCTTGGAGATACTCAAAGCCCAACTAGACATGCCCTGGAGCAGCCTCTTCCCACTGGTCCCACTGGACCAGGAGGTTGGAGATGACTCCCAGAGGTGCCTCCAGACTTGGTAACTCAGTGTTTCTGAGACTACAAGCCCCTCATCAGACCCTCTTCCCATCCATGCCGTGCCCTGGCTCTGCTCCCCATGCTCCTCCCTGTGACATGGGACACGTCTGGATCCTGGCCAAGGTTTTGGGACACTTGACTGAGAGACAGGAACACCCATGGTGATTTCCTCCAGCAGATCTGCCCAGATAAACAACCCAGGTGGTTTATTGACTTCTGTATTTAACCGGATCATCTTCTCTCATGTTGTTTCTGTGTGAGTTTAGTCCCAAAAACATGACTTTGAATTAATTCTTTTATTTTTTTTGTGAGTCAAAATGCTCTTTTTTTGTTGCTGTTGTTGTTGTGCAAGTCACCTGGGTCTTTCCATGTGGGTTTGTAGCAGACCCTGCCCCGCTATTTTAATTTTTGGGGCAGAAAGGTCTCACCAGCTGCTCCTGAAAGGATCCCAAAGCCTTGCAGAGCTCTGCTTCTCTACAGGTCCCTGCCCTCCAAAAGCCCTAAGAAGAAAATGAGCAGAAAGAAGGACAAGGTACCACTGGATTTGGGTCCATAAGAAGTGGTTTGGACCCACTTTAGGTCCCACCCCACGAAGTGCTGAGGTGGCTGCACCAAAGCCCAGCTGGGCTCTTCCCTCCTGAGCTGTCCCCAGGCAAAGTGCATCAGCTGCTCAAAGTTTATTCAACAACTTCTACCTTCCCCTTTTCTTCCCTGCACACTTGAGAAGAGACACTACACCAACACTATGGTTTGGGTCTTTTGGTTCAACTAATTTTATGTATTATGAAGAGAAACTCAAAGCAAAGTTCCAAATTCATCATCCCTGGGAGTTGTCTCTTGTTAAACTTCCTGTCTGGTGTCCTGGACTCACAAATTCCAGGATGATTTGTTTGTTTCCTCTATTTCATTAATAAAATATAAACAAATAAAATACACTTATATATTAATAAATGTTTTTAATAAATATTATATATTAATAAAAGTAATAATGNTTCCCTGTCCCTGCCCTTCTCTTTGCCTCTTCCTTTCACTCTGTCCTTTTCTCTTCCTCCTTCATGTTTTTTCTCTTTTTCCTGTCCTTTCTCACGCTCCAGATCATCTTCTGTGTCTCCTTTTCCTTTGCTTTTTTCGGGTTCTCTTCCTTGTTTGGTTGGTTTTTTGCTTCTTTCCCTTTCTCGTTTTTCTCCTTCCCTCGAGGTCTCATGTTCTGGTTCTTTGTGCCTCTCTTTATTATCCTTCTGTTTCTCACCCTCCTTTTCTCTTTCTCTGCTCTCTTTGGGTTTGTTGTCTCTGCTTGAGCTTCTGTCTTTGATTTCAGGGTCCCTCCTGCTCTAAAAAGAAAGTCAACACTCCAAATTAATTCCGGTAGCACTCAGTGACTTTACACAGACAAAAAAACAACCAAATAAATAATACCCTCCAAAAAAAATGCAAATTCTACCTCTTTATCCCTATGGCTTTTTGGTTCTTCTGGTTTGGACTCTCTGCTTTCTTTCTCTCGAGGTTTGGAGGATGGAGGTTTCCCTTTAGGATCAGCTCTTTCCCCAGCTAAGACCCTTTTTACAGCAGCATCACTGGAGAGCTGCAAGGAACAGAAAAACATCAGGGAAATGAGGAAATTCTTTTAGGAAACGTCTCCTTTTTTCCTAACTCTGTGATCAACATGACCCGGGGGTTGGGCTTTTCTTCTGGGTTTGCTGCTGTGGTTGTTATAAATAAAGCTCTTTTTTTTTTTCTCCTTCACAGAATCAATCAGAGAAAAGGCCTCTGAGACCACTGAATTCTTTCCCAGGAGCTCTTTTATATCAAACACCTCCCTTTAAGGTCCTAATTAATTAATTCTTGTTATAATTTGATTAAATGAACCAGAACTATAGAAATTGATAGTGGGTTTTTTTTAGTGTATTACAATTCTCATTGCAACTGCTTAAATATATTTCAAAATTATGAAAAAGCTGTCAAATGATTATACCAGGACTGTCAGATTGGTTAAATATTCTTAAAATCACACAATGTTGGATCTGCATTCACTCTCAGGCCACTCCACTGTCACCCAATACTTGTTCCATCAGCAGCAACCAAAAAAACCCAWYCCMWTTYCMRGGRAWTTTYCYTYCYKRAAMMRGRA